GGTGGGAGAGTTAGTTGAGCTGCTACCTCAATAACTTCGTATATGCAAACTTTTTCTTTTAATAATTCGATATAATGCTTGTATTGTTCCGATCCTTTTTTTCATTTTTAATTAAAAATATATTGAACGATAATGAGATAATTAAATAAATATGTTCAATCTCTGTCCTTCAATATATGGTGATAATATTATTATATTTAAACAAAAAACTGGAAATTGGATTGGGCAATGCAATGGGTTAAGAGTTTGGGGAAATCTTTGCCACTCTTATTTATGATGGAGGTTGAGAGGTTGGTGTGAATCAGTGAATGTTGTTTTTCTTTCTAATACTTATTTTCACCTCATTTAGTTTCCGTATCTAATTCATGAGTTGCTGAATTAGTTGAAGATCGTCGACTTCTTAATTTGCATGTTCATGGCTAGTGTTTAGATAGCTAATAATTAAGGTATGACATGTCATGTGATTTTAATGCAATATAAACATAATTGGTTTATGTTCTATCGTGTTATAAGATGCTTAATGTTTTTAAATAATATTTAATATTTAAATTTTGTAGATAAATTCAATGCTAAAATAATATTATATATATATATATATATATATATATTGGATGGAGGGATGATTACAAGAAGGCATTATTTGTATAAAATCACTACTAATTATTGACAACACATATACACTTTACATATACAATTGTTCGAACTCAATGTCTCTAATCTCAAATACTTTTTTCATTATAAACAAATATGAAAAGTGTAATTAAAACCTCTAAGAATATTTAATTTAATAAAACTGTATAATGTTTAAAATGACGAAATTATTTTTTTCAGTTTATATAGGAGAAAATGAGAGACTTCTTTTTCGAACAGTTATAAGTTATTTAATGGGAGCATTTCAGAAAAGGACTCTATTGATATGAGACATTTTATATATCTATATTTGTATGGAATCATTAATAAATATTTTATTGATAGTAATTTGGATCACTTTTCCTTTTAATATTATTATAATGTCATATTTATTTTAATTGATTTTAAGAAAAATAATTGTGGACAATTTTTTAATGAAAAATAATAGGAAAACGAATGAAAAAAGAAACAATATTGGTAAGTCAATGGAATATGGGTAGAGGTCATAAATGTGGCTCACCAGTTAAGGAGGCAGTTAATGCTTCGGAGTCCAAACTTTATTCCACTCATACCATGATATAAAATTAATTAATTTTTATATAAAAATTAATAATTAAATAAATTTAAGATATATATTAAAAAATTCTCAGCATATATTTTTCGTAACTAGGGATGGGCATGGGTCGGGTTTGGGTCAAGTTTTGGCTAACCCGACCTGAAAAATTTACATCCTTCACCTGACCCGAAAATTATATACCCTCCACCCGACTTGAACTCTACCCGATTTTTTAAGATAAAATCCGAACCAGATCCGACCCGACTCAAAATAATAAAAAACAAATATTTAATTGAAAAAAATATATAGAGGATATTATTGTAAGTATTCCTAAATATATAAGGTAAAATTATTTTTTCGGGTTGGGTCGAATCGGATATTTTTTACCTTAAACGTGAACCCTAAACTTACCCAACCCGAACATCACGTTTAAAAAACCCAACACAACCCGAATCCGAACCCGAGTTTTTTTTAAAGGGTTGGGTCTGAACCCGTCAGGTTCGGATCCCATGCCCATCCCTATTTATAACCTCTTTTTATCTTTATTTGATAAGCGATAATATTAATTTTGATGCTAATTGTTGATTTTTTTCATTACATTTTTTTAAATTTTTTAGTTTTTTTATAACTCTATATTTATGATGTATTTTATTTACCTTTTATGCATTTTCGATAAACTATATTATTAAATATTTTATTGATACTTTTTAAAATTAGAATCTTTAAAAAATTATCTAGAGAAAATAAAAGAAATTTTTTGTTACTAATGAATATTGAACCAACAACTTAAGAGGTAGAGCAAATATCAATTGAAAACTTTTAAGTACTTGTTCTAAAGATTGTTGACAATTAAAATTTTAAATTTAATTCAATGGTTTCAAATATTTTTCATATTTTTCATAAATGATTTATTGATTTTTTTCTAAATTTAAGTTTTATATGTTTCATTAATAATTAAGAATGTGTCAATGAGGTTGATTTAAGTAATAAGTAGTTTATATTAAATTTGAGACATTATATATATAGAAAATTTATGTGAAGAGACTCACATACTAAAATTAAATATATATGATACAAATCAGCCTAAATTAATCTTTACAAAACAGTGAAGAACTGGAGGGCAACAAATTAAAGTACTTTTGGCATTAAACATTTTTGTCGCTATGGTCAATTCTAGAAAACCCGGACTAGGTGGGCTGATTCCTTTAACCAATGGGCTCGACCTAACTCCACTCTTTATCTCCGGACCATCCACCTCAAGTATTTTTTATGAGAGAAAACTCAAATCCATATTGATTATTTTTAATAAAATTATAAAAAGTAATAAATCGACAAAATATTGAAAATTATGATTTTCATAAAGGAGTGTTTATATGCCTGATTAATGGTTATTTAGTTACCATTTAAAAAGTTAATAATGGACGTATACTACAAATACTTTTTAGAGGGAATTTTTATATTATATATATTTATGGTAAAAAAAAGTTTAAGGGACGACTTTCCAATCCAGAGTCAATATATATCTAAGACTAAATCACGATTTATATATGAATTAACAGATTGTCCACCAAGAGTGACAGTAGTAGGATTGAACTTGGTCTTACAAACTAAAATTTCTGAATCTCAATCATGTGTACCAATATTCGTGGGCTAAAGGGAATTTATATTCTATACTATTAAATTTTCATTTTAATTTAGAGCATACAAATTATACCAATAAACTTGTATAGCTAAAAACTGAATTACTTTTAGTAACAATATTAAATTAGTTAAAATAGAATAATTGAATTGATACTTTTACGTAACATATATTTACGTATCAACCTCAAATAATGTTTAATTGATAATTTTAGTTTTTTAATAATTTATAAAAAAAACTAGTTATTTTTATTTTAGATTTATTTAAATGACATGTTAGAAGCACAAACCAAACGACCTTAATGGTTAAAGGATTTGTTATTGTACTTTAAGGTCCTAGGTTTGAGCACTATGTATACAAGAGTATGAACATTCATTGTCAAATGATTGAAAGTTTTTCACCAGATACTACCTTGTATTCACCCCATATATATCAAATTTAATTTTTTGTTTTAATTATTTAACAATATATGAATGAATTTTAATAAGAATTATTTAATGATGTTGGTATAAGTTGATATAACTTTGGGGTGTTTATGAAAGTCTAAAACTTATTCGGTTCAATGACTTCAAAAAGATCGCGCTCCAAACGAATAGCTTTAACGTGCAGAAGCTCCCTATCTTCCAACACTCTATTCTCTCATCCGAGCCATCAATGTTATAATCAACAAAGTCCAATATTATTCTCATATAACGTGAAGCAAACGAAGCAGCTTTACACTCCCCCCCCCCCCCCATAATGGAATATACTCCTCTAGATGTAATGATTTATACCTCCTTCACATTTAAAAAAAGTGAAAATTTTAATTAATTATCTATTTTTTTAATATTACAATTTATCAGTGACAAGCTAATTGCATATGATTTTTGTTGAATGTATGATAAAATTTTCTATGACTATCAATATTTAATTACTCAATTAATTATTTTAAATTAAATATTATAAAGGTTTATAACGAGAGAATACTTTTTTCTATTCATAACACCAAATATATTATATAAAATAGAGATAGTATGTACTATATACATTTAAAAAAAATCATAGGCTTGAGTATGAACTTCTCTCACCATGAAACGTTGTTGAATATTATGCATCTCAATTCTCACATTCAAACAAAAATCTCAACATGAACCAAATTACTTTATTATTGGAAGAATAGTTTTATCTTTTAAGGTTTTAAGTTTGAGTATTAAAAATTATAAGAATATTTTAGTTTTCATTGTTAAATAATTAAAATTTTATAAGATATATATTATTTTATAATTATCTTAAATTAATAATAAAAATAATAATAAGTTTTATTAATTTTAAATTTGTCGTTTTGCTAATCGACCTCATTAAAGTGCATTGACGGAGTAAATCTTGTCATTAAAATACTATCAATAAAAAATCTATTCCATTCTCAAAAGTAAGATCTTTCGATCTTCCAAGTCATAAACTTTCCACGACAATTATTAATAACATGTCAAGTTAATTTTTTTATAAATGTATTTCATTAATCCAAGAACCAGACATTAAAATTTGATTTGATTTAATTTAAAAATTAATTATAATATAATATATTTGACAACTATTAATTATTTTATAATGAGTATTCATGTAGATAAAGTATTCGAACTCAAAATCTCTAAAAATAATAAATATTATTTTTTATCAAATAAAATGAATGGATACGTGGAAATTGAAGCCATATGAAGAATGAGTGGATTAATGAATTGATGAAGTATAGTGTTGTGAGAGAGAAAGCAAAGCAGAGTTAAAAGTGTAAGAGAAGCACTAAGCATGTGGTGTGAAAGGGATCATACATGCTTAGCCTCCTGTCTTCCATTTCCTCAAAGATCCTAACCCTGTGGGTCACCACATCCAACCTTCTTGTCCATTTCCACCATCATGTTCTCTGATTCACGCAGCCGTATACTTTACATTACAAATCCCAAACCCAATCTCTGATTAACCAATACTCATGAACCACGTCATACAAAGAAACGTCTGATTTAAGAATCCGTTGACTGGGTTTTGAAGAGATCATCACGTCTCAAGTAGATAAAACATGGGTGTATCCGCAGAGGATTAAAACTTGTCTTATAGCCTTAAATTCATCAATTGTTTCGTCTACCCCCATCTCCTCACGACAAATCGTTGGGTGTGAGACCAGACAAAATAGTCAACCCTCAAATCTAAACACTTACACTTTCCCCATCAGCTTTAAACACTTACTCTCAAAGTGAGAAACTATCAACCCACCACCTTTGCCGCCTATTATGGGGTTCATCGCCTGGGCCCCATCTCCTTCGCTGATCCATTCTTCCTCTCCCTCCTCTTCACCCTCATCTACGCCGTCGTCGTCGTCTTCGTATCTGCCGCCTTCCAAACTTCCGGTTGACTTCAGTCCACCGTTGATCGCCATAGTGGTGGTGGTCGCCGCAGCATTTCTGATCGTCATGTATTCGCGTCTGATCTCAAAACGGCTTATCCCTCTAATTCACCGTTTTCTCAACTTCATTCGCCTCCGCCGTCGGCGTCGGCGACGCTACTTACCATCCACGACGACCGACCTCGACTCTCTCCCGTCCTCTGATCCGTTCGAGCTCCCTCTTTCCCCTTACGGCCTAGATGACTCTGCCATCAAAACGCTACCGCTTTCTCTCTACACTTTAAAAACCAGACCCAACAACAGCCCCAAAGACTGCGCCGTGTGTTTGTTGGAGTTCGAAGACAACGAATACGTCCGAACACTTCCCGTTTGCTCGCATGCCTTCCACGTGGATTGCATTGACGTTTGGTTGAAATCACACGCTAATTGCCCGCTGTGTAGAGCTGGAATTTTCGCCACCGAATGTCCTTTCACTCCGTTAATGGCGGCCAGAATCCGTCCGAGCCTCGACGACGCCGTTTTCATCAACAACACTCTGGATTCCCTGACCGAAGCTCCTCTCCAATCTTTCCCAAACAACACCATAACGGAAATAACCGAAGAGGCGTCACCAAGAAGAGCAAACGGAAGCAATAGTTGCGAGGAAAGGTTTAATTTTGTGTTGAAAAGGTCGTATTCATTTGGTTTCGAGAGGAGTTTAGCGGCGGAGAGGATGATGATAACGGAGCCCACCACAGCTTCTCCTTGGAGGTACAGAAGAGGGACCGGATTTTGGAGCAAAAGGGCATCTCCGTTTGGATCGTTAATGATGAAACCGAGGGTTTTCTCGTTTAGATACTACAGAGGGATGAAAGCTTCGCCCTTTTTCCGTCGGAGAGGATTTTTTCCATTGTCGGAATCAAGCGTCAGATTCTCCGGCGGCGGCGGCTCGTCGAGAAGAACCAAGTCGATGGCGAGTCCGATGTTTTTAAGATCTACCGCTTCAAGCGTGGCGGCTTTCTCGTCGAGCCGGCTCCGTTGCGGCGACCCAGAAGCATTGCTCTCACCGGAGAGGTTCAACAGAAGATAAACAAAAAAGACAAAAGAAGCCATTTTTCTTCAGGGAGAACCCAGATTGGACACGTGGACGGCTGGATGGAGAGAACGACGGGAGATAGGAGAGTGGAAAGGCGGGGAAGCATTAATGAAAGGTGGGGAGGGACAATTAATGAGGAAATTGACGAGACAGGATTTTATGAGCTTCGAGGATTGAAGAAGGAGAAGAGGGAAATGGGGTGACATTAAATGCACAGACGTTGGAGTTTGGTGTGGAGGGGTTTTCAACCAAAGGCTTCTTATAATGCCCTTAGGTTGGGGTGGGTTCCAAACTTCAAACATTAGTTGGTTCGAATTTAAGTTCCAGTCGAATTCGAAAGTCTTGTGAACGGTTCAAGGGTTCATTTTTGTTTATTGGGTTTGGTTGTTCTCAATTCTTTGATTCTGAGCATTCAATGCAGGATTGAGAGATTAAATTTTGGGTATCATGGCAAGATATTCTCCCTTTTTATCTTTTAGTTTTACATGTATATATATATTGTGTCACTGTTGTACTGATGAATACAAAATATTGTACCTTTCCTAGCAGGAAAATTTCATTTAACTATAGGTGAAGTGAGCATCGGTAGAACAATAAATTATGTAGTCATGATACAGTAAAAGTTCAACTAACAACAAAATATATAGATTCATGTATTAATGTTAATTAGTCATTACTTAGTGATTTATTGAAGGTTTAAGTTGCCCTTTATTTTATCCTTTTAGATTATGTTTTTATTGTTTCCAAACAAGGTTTTATCTTTCAATAGTTTTTTTTTCCTTTTAATAAAAGAAAAAAGTTGTTTAATAATACTCATATGAGGATCTTAAACCAGTAACCTCCAAAATCTAAAAATTATTAGTATCAAAGTCGATTACGTGACGGAATTTTTTCTAAGTCATTTTTTCCACCTTCACGCCACGGAAACAATGGTGGATACACTAATACATAAGTTCAAATCTACAGGTAATTATTTATTTTATTAATATATTTATTCTGAAATTTTATTGGTATTACAAAAATTTTGTAATATAAAAATATTTCTAAATTTACTCCTAGACGAGAAGATCCCTTATTCCTGTATATTTTCTTTATGTGCATAGAATTCTGTCTTCAAAATCAAAAGCCATCTAGCTGTCAGTCTACTCTACCTTCTCATCCCTCATTTATCTGGTTATGATCAGTTATCTGTTAGTTTCGGGGTCAATTACATCAACCTCCTCAACTTTATTATCTGTTACACTCCACTCCTACTTGACTTAACACCGTTAGTCATCATCTTGAAACCGGAAAAATCCCGTATGCAATGAATTAGCAACCTAAATGGCAAAGCTTTGAATGTAGTCAGAGGGAAAGTTGAAGGGGTTTGCATGCAATTTACCCATTAGTGTTTTACTATTGAAAAGGATAACACCTTGATCAAATTTGCAGTGATAGAAGCTGAGCAATAGATAATGCTAATAAATGATTTTTTGGATGTTTCCTGCTTTTAAATTCATGCATTTACTCGTTCACAAAATTCTAATGAGTTTTCTCTTTTACAGGGAACTGTGAAGATTGATTGAGGATCTCCGAGGGAAAAAAGAAAAGAAAAGAAAATTAAAGCTTAGTGATATGCCATATATATAACCATATTATATCCCTCTGCAAAAGAATTCGAATTCAAGTGTTAAGAGCATCGGTGTATGAACTTATTGAGTAATTGTAACGGTAAAAGAAAACGTTTTGCTCCTTAAAGATTCTGTCTCCTTAAAGATTCTATATCTGAACAGTTACATACGTAAGGTGTATGTATATTGTCAGGATCACGCTTTAATCCCTTAACTTTCATATCCGCCTATCCGCCCACAAGACCTCTGCTTCACTGATCTTCCCTTCCTCACAAAAAGCTGCCATTGAAACACTATAACAACAACTATTTGGAATGCACCCTAAGCTTAAAAATAGAGCATCAAAGCGTTAAAAGTATGCACAGTTGGCCGGACCTGTAAAACCCTTTTCTTATTACATTCATTCTCAGCATTACCTACTCCAAAAACCTCATATCCTTTATTTGCTCCATGGCATTTCGAAAACTCCTAAATCAAAGCATTACAAGTTGTAACCTGGGGGCTAATCCATCATTCCAAATATCTCAATAGACCCATCAAGCCTTTTCATTTGTAAACAAGAATTTACCAATAAATCAAAAACAAACGGGGCAGAATCGCACTCATAACTTTTAACTAGCAATTCAAATAGTTTCAAATGAGTGGGTTCGTTTCCAATACCTGGGATCCGAATCGCGAGGGCGAGGAGTTCCCGGGTACAGGTTTTCAGTCGAGCACGAGAGAAGATGTGAATATGGTTGGAATAGGAGAGGTTGTGATCACAAAGGATTTTTGTTTGCTGAAGAGGAAGAAGCGTAGGACAAGGTGGGGGTTGTTTTTGAGTTGGAGGTAATTTGGGAGAACTGGGAAGTGGTGAAACCGGAGGGGAAGAGAGCGAGGACGGTGGACCACCAAGATTTGGAGATGGCAGTGACGGCGGAGATTGGGTTGGGTTGATTGGACGGCGGAGATTGGGTTGGGTTGGTTGGACGGTGGAGAAGAGGTATTGGGGAAGGCAGCGGAGGAGAATGAAGAGAAAGGAAAGAGGGGATATAAGCCCTGAAGCTGGCACGACACCTGCTATTTCCGGTAAGGAGTACCGGAAATTGATTGCTCTTGATTGATAAGAAAACAAAGTATATTTGTTAAACTACTCTGAGGCGAATTTTGGTCGCATTTCTGTACAGAGTCAAGTTTTCTACTATTTCATCTCCTTAGAAGCATGAAAAGGCACTCTCAAATAAAATTTCATTGCAACTAATTAACAATAAAAGGAGTGTTATACACAACATTTGTAAGTAATATCAAACTAACCGCAACCGTAATTTACATCTGGTTTGGCAACAAGGGACTCGAATGGTACTTCGATCCTCTCTTTCACCAAGCATCGAGCTTCACCATCTTCCATTACCAGGACTTTACCAGGTGGACATGGAGCATCGGAATTCTTTTCTTCACTTGCACGTTGTCGACTCATGTAAAAAATCTTGACAGGGTTACCTTTCCCAATGCTTGGCACAAAATTTGACAGGCTTAATATATACATTACACCAACAAGGGGAAGAACGGTCTTCACTGCTGAACTTATGAAGTGGCCAAATCCTTTCCTCGAGTTTCCGGATTCGTCTTGCTTGTCACCTGTGGATATCCCATTTGGCAAAGACTTGTACGTTGACTGTAAGTGTGACAAAGAGCAGTTATCCGAAACCAAGGACCGTGGCGGGCGACTTAGATATGGAGGAAGGAGAAGATCACTGTTATTCTCCACTGTTTTACTAAAAAAAGCAGAAGCCTCGAGAATCACTTCCATGTCCTTCCCTTGATATTCTTCGAGCTTCTCCAAGACAACTCTCCTGCTATAATCGATCTCGGCAAGGGCAACTTCTTTTTCATAACTTTGCTGATGTTGCAGATTCTGTTAAGTAGAGAAAACTAACTTCTAAACCATTTTTTGTAAGAAAAAAATGTTATCGACACAAACATCTCTTTATTTCAAGGAAAATACTAACAACTAATGTTTTGAATCCATTCTTCCTCAAGTAACTTCATATAGAAATGTGTTTACTTTACCCCTACTCCAGAAAAACTTCATTCTTAAGTTTCACAGCATAAAAATTAGGACTTGGAATTAGGATCTAAAGGGTAATTTTCTTTTCGTTTCACATATTTACATGCATAAATGTCAATAAAATCAGGGTTTTTTTATTTTTTTTCAAGGGGGCTTAGGGTTTATAACATAAAACCTAGCATTTAACAAAATGGAGAGGGGGGTTAAGATTTTTGGGGTAACAAACCTGTAGGGCAAGGAGTTGGGATTCAAGTGATTCAAGGGCATCTTGAATATCCAAAAGCCTCTCGGTTGTTTCTTCGTCTTCTTCTTCATCTGCTCCACTGAAACTTTGATGAGAATTATGGCCTTTGTCTCCATTCAACCTACCATTTTCATCAGCTTGGTTTTTTGGGCTTTGTTCATATGGAGAAACAGGCTTGGCGGAGGTGATGCAGCTGCTGATTTTCAATCTCAACTCCGTCGCTCTTGCTAATGCTAACCCTACTCCCACTTCTTCCATTTCTTTCGTCCCTCGCTTTTCACACTGGTTTCCTGTTTATTGTAGTAGTAAGATACGTTAAACGACAAAGAAACGACAGAAGAAAACGGGGAGGAAACTGGGATTTGTTTGTTAAGAGACCTTAGTCGTTTGCTTTTTCTTTTTGGGGGAGCATAAGGCCAAGAAATTGGGCTGATAAACCCAAAGCCCCAACAGCAATTTGGAAGAGCAAACTCTAACCTCTGCTTTACAGACATAAGATTATGTGGGCTCTTTCTCTCTGCTACCTATGGTTCATATGCTTCCAGTTGTGAAAATCATGCAACTAGATCATCTTCTCTTCTCATTTCTTAATTTCTCTGTCTTACTTGAACAAGATACTGTAAATAGTATTTGTAGATTGGGTTTTACATAATCCGGCCTATAGGTAGTTCTTACTAATGAAAAAAAAAAGATTGATCTTGTCCATCTTTTCTTGTTCTTATTAGAACATCTTTTATAAGTGTAGATGCTTAATTTGTCTGGGTAGTTAAGAAACTAGAAAAAACTAGAGGGAACGGTTTGTAGAGAGTGGGGGGTATTGTGAGTTATCAAAAAACTGTAAATGGGAATGGTCAGTTTTTAGATAACCATTCATCAACAGGGGGGGAAAAAAAAGAGGAGACCATCTTGTAATCAGAGGAAAAAAAAAACGATTCCTTCAACTCTATTTTTCAACAAATAAAACAAATTTCAGAAGCAATTAGATACTATACGAAAACCAGAGAACAGTTTATTTATTTTTTATTTCACACAAAGAGCAAGAAGGAAGAACAAAGCAATCTGGAAAGTAAACAGAGGTTTCCATTTGATATACAGAGCATACAAGCGAATATTTCTTCGACAGGTATTCAACCATTTCCATATTTCAGTAACTATTTTCATTTATATTAACAGCATGTTCTAACCAAACAAAATGAAGAAGTAGAGAGATTACTTACCCTTAGTCTTAGAGACCATTCGTTAGTGTCGTCGGGATTGAGAGATGAGTAGTTGAGATTTCTGTTTTGAGTGGTCAAGTAGAAGACCGTGTTGAATGGAGAGTGGTCACGGCGAGCGGTGGCCGGTGTGAAGAACTTGAAGCGTTCATGGGAAGAGAGGGATAGGATCGAAGTTTGGTCTAGTGCCGAGTTTAAGTGGGCGTTGAACTTTGGAGTTTACTGGGTATCGAACGGAGTAGAGCCACCAAGACGGGTGGCCGAGAGATGGAGCAGCGGTAGATTTCCTTTTCTGATTTGGGCAATGTGCGAGCGTGGGGAAGAAGAAGGGAGAGATAGAGAAGATGAGTGAAACGGCTGAGGGGTTAGGTTTAATGATGTAGGAGGTTTAGTTTAAGTAGGTTTTTTTAGGTTATAGGGCTAATTATTTAGGTCACTGCGTATGCTGTTGATTCCATTTTAGTCCTGAAGCCAAGTATTGTTGCTTGTAATTTGGCTTTAACTTTTATGCACATTTGATTTAGTCCTAAATGCTAGGGTATTTATTTTCTCTTGTTTGCATATTCGGTCTTCTAGTTTTGCATGTTCTATTTTAGTCCATTTTGTGTGTTTAATTGAATTTTGCAATGATTGTGATTCTGGCTCATTACTTTAAAAAGTTTCTATTTTGACCCCATTATTTATCAAGTTATTCATTTTTACGTTTGGTAATATCTTGTATTTTTACGTTTGGTATGTAATTATGTTAATATTTTTATTTTCGTCCATAGATTTAATTTAGTCATAATTTAGACTTTTTTAATTAATTCTTTAAATTTAAATTTATTTTAACATAGTCCATTCTTAGATTTGTTTTTAAGTTAGTTGTTTATTCCTACTTTGCATGCTTAGTTTAATTTTATTTTATTATGGTCCTTCATGGTAATTTTGAATGTGAAATCGAGTTATTAATAGCATGTTTTATTGTATATATTGTTTTATTCTAATGTATGTTAGTGTTGTAAATACATATGAATTTTATTGTTTTTTTTATCTATAAGAGTTAGAAGTTTGTTTGAGTGCATGGCATATTTTAGTTAATTTTGTCTTTACATGACATCATTTTGGTATAATTTGCATGATAGCCTTATTTGCATAACTCGACCTATTACATAATCGGACTAAGGGTAATACCCTTTTAATTTAAAATTGTTGAAGTGGGCAGTCATAACTGATTTGAGGTCCGCTTTTAATGATTTTAAAATAAAAGTGTATCCCGAAAGTGAAACCAAAAAATTGATTCATCACCTAAAATTTGGGAACGAGAGAAAAGAAATGTTCGTTTATTTAAATATATCGAGAAAAGGTTGTTATATCTTTAAGATCTGGTCTCGATATTTGTAAATAATCGAACATTCTTTATCTTTCTAAAATGACTTGGTAATTTTAATTTAATTGTTTGAGTGCTTTTGAATGTTTTTAAATTTATATCTTTGTTTTATGAGATCAAAAATCAAATAAATTCGAATTTGTAAAGTTCATTGCAATACGTTAATTAATCGATTAGGTACCGATTTAGGACGTTGTGGGGGTGCTAATCCTTCCCCAAACGTAATCGACTCCCGAACTCGGATTTTGATCACGCAGACCTCAATTTGTTGTTTTAATTAAAATTAATTTTTATTTAAAATGACAAAGAATTTTTGGGTGCCCAATCACACCCTAATCAAAGATTGGTGGCGACTCTTCGAACCGTATTTTTCGATCGTAAAGGAAATTCAAAATTTTTCGAAACGAGAGGTTTTTTAAATCGCATTTGTTTTTAAATTAAAAAGGGACAATTAAGAATTAATGTGGTTTTCAAAATCTCACCTTTAAGGAAAAATCGTTTCGACAGCTTGGCGACTCCGCTGGGGACTTTTTTTTAGAGAGTCAAGCCGATAGTCGATTAATTAATTGTCTTTGCAATTGAAAATTACAAATTCGTTTTAATTTGATTTTGATCCCTTGTTTGGTTTTTAATAAGTTTTGTTTGTATTTTGATTTCTTTAATTTAATTTGATTGACAATTAAATAGTTGTACTGATCTGTTTGCTAATGATTTCAGAATGATTGTGTGTTTTGGGAATTGATTTTGAGTGTTTTTATTGATTGTTTTTCGCTTTTCCTCACACACTGCACAACTGCATTATCATAACATGAGCTAAAACCCCGCTCCGTCCTATTTAAGTAGGAGTGAGAAACTATGCCCTCGTGTGGTTTTCACCTCCGCATGGGATAGTGGATCGCTCCTGGAGCTCACGCCTTATGGTCCTCGTGATGGTAATCACCTCCGCATGGACATAAGGAGGTGTGTTCCCTCGAAATTGAACTCGATCCCCTAAAGCCTGTGATGGGCCAGGATTGAGGGTTCGGCAGCCCAAGGGGGCACCGGCAAGGACAATTCGAGAACCTATTGCTTTAGAACCTAACCCGGCATATAGTGAACGTAGAGCCCGAACTTAGGTTGAACTAAACCCGAACCTTAAGAATCCCGTGAGGAGGGTACACAAGGAAAAGCTTTTTTGAGTCATTTATTTTCATTTTTTTCCGAATAAATGCACGCGAACTAGATATCATGCGGTTAGGTTTATTTTTTGAACAAGCATGCGAATTAGATATCATGCGGTTAGGATTTATTTTTGTGGATAACAAAGCATGGGGGTAGATATCATGTTGGGTAGGATCTGATAAAGCATGATTGGGTAGCCAGCATGTGGGTAGGATTCTTGAATAAATTATTATCCCGACTTAATTGCTTTATGTTTACTAACCGATCTTTTGTTGTTTTTGCCTTGTTTCTTTTCTGTTTTGCATTGCATTGTCCATTACATGGTGTTGATTTGGGTCGATGTCCATATAGAAGGCCAGAACGAACGGTTCGGAAAGAGGTTGAGGACAATGCAGATGTTCTGAGGTGGTCGGAACAGTCCCAGTTGACCAATGGAGACAGCGTGACGCCTGGATATGTGTCAGAGTTATTTGGTTACACTCACATCAACATACGTCAGAATGATCTGAGTGAGCTAAGAGAGATATGGGGAAGATGGGAAGCAGCCGATAAGGAGATGTTTTATCAGTTGTACGGCGATATTCCTTGTCTTCTGGGTGTTCCTATTGACCGAAATCTGTTTAGAGCATTGGCGCAGTTTTGGAATCCGGCTTATAGCTGTTTCACATTTGGTAGAGTGGATCTAACACCAACAATAGAGGAGTATCAAGCATTGGTCCGTTGTCCGAGGTCCCAGATAGATAGAATATATACCAAGCTGCCAGTCACTCCTTCATTTAAGAAGAAATTACTAGTGATGACCGGAATGAGTGAAGATTGGGTAATCAGAAACATTAAGAAGAAAGGAGACAGTGAGTGCATCTCTTGGGCTGCTCTGAAAGAAGTAATTGCTCATCATCCTGATAAGAGAAAGAAGCTTGATTTGTTTGCTTTAGGGATTTATGGGCTCATTATTTTTCCAAAAGTGCTAGGATATGTAGATGTATCAGTTGTTGACCTGTTTGAAAGATTAGACAAGCACGTGGATCCTGTTCCAGCTATTCTAGCTGAGACGTTTCGGTCTTTGAGTTCTTGTAGGCGCGAGGGAGAAGGACGCTTTATAGGATGTGCGCCTTTGCTGCTAGTGTGGATTCTGAATCATTTTAAACATGTTGAAAGAGCACCAGGACGAGTGTTTCTAGAGGGGTTTTCGCCTTTGAAAGATTTTCTTTCTAAAGAGTGGCCTGGGGGTTTTACTGAAGAAAAATGGATGGTCATCTTCAAGGATATCAGAGATGGAGATATTTTGTGGCGAGCTTCGTGGAATACCTCTTCGGATATACTTTACCGATGTGGAGAGCGAGATTGGGTTCCTTTGCCAGGTATATGGGGCTCTGTTGGGTATGCACCGCTACTAGTTTCCAGACAGTATGGGTCAAGGCAGTTCATTCCAGCCACGTGGGACTTGGTAGGATCAGATTTTGCATTCAAAGGAGATCAGTATAAGGTTAAAGTTAAAGGGGTTGCTGAGGCTTGGAAGCAAACTCGTCGTGTGAATTTGTTTACCTATGATCTCGAGTTATCTCAAGAGTACGAGCAGTGGAGAAGCAGTCGAGTAAATGACAATATCCCGATGGGGAATCCTGAAAATATTCAGCCGGTGGAGGAACAGTTGAGAGTGGTGCCATCTCCATTAGAGTTAGCCAAGCGCGATTTCGAAGCAGAACGGAGACAATGGAGAATGACTTTGCAGAAACTAGAAGA